GTACAATTATATATTTTTTTGCTGAAAACGATTTATCTTACTTAGACGAAGAATGTAGTGTTTGGCAAGATCAGCTATGAAGTTGTATAATCTCAAGAACACTAACCAGGTAGTCATAATGGACTAAAAGATGCTAGTTACATAAAACTGTCGTCCGTTCAGTAGCACCATTTAATAACTGATTAACCCCTTCACTTTTTCACCCAGTCGCATAGTTATTAAACAATAAAGTGTAGAAACCTTCGGGATGACATTCCTGAAACATATTCAAGCTAAGTTTGTGTATTGAGTCTGTAACATCAATTGAATTATTATGACTGTCCTTGACGAACCAAACCGTTACTTACACATTCTTATCACTGAATATAAGCAATAATTCCGAGATAACTATGATCGAGCTCGGGGTCAACGAATATCCTCAACTCTCAAGTCAGCTTTCATTAAGAGAGCAGAACTGCTTTCATCAACCCGCTACATACACAACTTTCTACATCACAAATCAAGTCAAGATGTCGATTATCCACATACTAAGTAATGGTTAACATAAATAAACAAAATTGATTCTCAGATAATACAATTCAAAGTATATCGATGGGTGTATGATTCTATCTAGTTTGTGTACTGTCAGCTGATGAAAATGAAATCTTCATGAATCAATTTAAAGTTTACACTTTCTACTAACCAAAATATTTTTTAAAGAAATGTTTGAAGTTCATTATTCGCATCAATATCCAAAGTTTGAAACTTGTCAAGTTCTCACTATAATATCACTTTAAAAGTTCTCAAAAAAGAGATGAGTTGGTTTTGTAAATTAGTTATTTATTTTAGACTTCATGATTCTCCAAATACATAAATAAACGTGTTGTACATTAGACTCAGACAAATACGATGTATATTAAAGAATGACTTAAAGGTTAAAGAAATGAACAAAATAGTAAGTTAATTACACTTCTTGTTAGAATTCAATGGATTTCTGGAAAGTCAAAAGTTTGATGAAAAATCCATAGTTCCGGCACTTCATCATAGTTACATAAATTTCACATATACAGGCTCCAAGATACGGTATTTATGTAAAAGCTAATGACACTACCAGACTCCCCAAACTAAATTAGGCCGACAAGTTTCAATCCTGTAACTTGTCGGTTAAAAAACCGAATGCTTTAACTTCAAATCCATCACTAGACTGGTGTTTATGCAACTCAAATTTGTTGATGGACACGACACATATTAGTAGTTCAATGTTCGATAATTGCAAATCCTCATAATTCGTTTTCCAACTGAAGCTGCTACTTTGACGTGATGGTATATCGTGGACTCAATTGAGTTACGTTGGTTGGGACCATCCCAACGGGTTGGTTGGAGAGCGATCAAACTATAAAGAGTTAGTCCGTAGTGTGGAAGCGAGGTCATGCTTCAGATTGAATATGAGTGGTAGCCCTAAGGTGTTTCTCCTATACAACTAGCATCTGTTGTGATACTGCCTATTTACAGCAGGAAGGGATGAAAACCGACCTCAAAACTAGCACGCCTTACTTTGCTCCATGGATTTTTATTATCGATGACAAGGCTTTAAAAGTAAGTGGCTAACTCATCTCAAACTACTCGAAAAAAGGCCGTATATGACCGGCCTCAAACTTTTGCGTTTTTACCACTTCTAAGTTGTTCCATTTTCAGGTACTTTAAAAAGTATTCTTTTACGGTGTGAACAACTGGAAAGTGACCACTACTCTCATGCTTCTGACGGCACACGAATTCATCCATTCACTGAAAACTTATTGCAGGGCTTGATTGCCCATCAAAAAATTGAATGGTACATTCTACGAATTCTATTATTGACCGTAACTTTCAATATCCGATTTTTCACCAATCTTCAGTGAACACCTATGCTACATTTAAACCATCTTTTTTTCTTCAATAAAAGTCAGTCCATAATTATGCTAGATATTTATATATACATAAACAGGTAAGATAGGTAAATAAAATTACGTAACACTAAGTGATATCTATGAAAGAAGATAAGTCTTCAAAACATATTCAAGAGTATCTGTTCTCGATTAGGTCAGCTTTTACAACTTGTTCGTCGTATAGAAGATACAATAAACATAGTGTTGTAGAACTTATGCACTTCTATTTTCAGTTAATGGATTCTGATAAGATGACACTTGTCAGAAGTTTGAAATATTTCAAATAGCTATCTACAACCATATTTACTATGACATCAAAAGATCCATTACACACTTTACTGTCTCCTTAAAAAATAACATTTTTTTGAATATTGAGGAAACAATAATGAGGAACAGTAAAAAATAATTGGTAATACACAAGAATTTACAAATAGTTAAAGTAAATATTGAATACATTTAGCCTCTTCAGAAAATAAGTCAAACGAAAGATTCCCACCAAGATAAATGGTATTTAATACGGCTTTTACTACCGAATCTTTATTAGTGCAAATTTCACGTAGTCTAGCAGCATGATTGAGTGTTGTGTATGTTTTAGGTCAAAGTTGACAGCTAGGTATTTAGGATTTAGTGTAAGACCATTGGAAATAGACCATCATTCAGTGAGCGATAACAGCTCCTTCATTTCAAGGAGATCCAAATAGGAAGGAACTGGAGTACATTGTCCGCATACTTAACAAGTGTTTTTTGTAGAAGATAGAAGAGAACGTAGAAAAAAGGAAGGGGAAAAAGAGCTCCCTGTGACAAACCAGGTTGGATACTTACCGCTATGGAAATTATACTGTTCTCTCCCAAGAAAATATGGACACAAACAGTTAGTCACCCAGCTCTCAGTATTAACACTAGCAAACGTGTTTAACGTCAATGGTCTTGGAGCGAAATCAAAGGCAGATGTGTAGTCTAGAAATCCACATCTAATATACTACACACCCTTGTCCAAACTGATCATTATACTGTGGTCCGAAACAACTGCATCATCCAAGTACTTTGTCTATATTTCTACCCAAACTTATGTGGATCAGTAAGCTTCTTTAACCCCGACTGAAGCGGGAGGATATGCAGAAATTTACTACTTACGTTACTACTGTCAATAAATGATAGTGCAAATACGAAATAAATGAGTTGTCCGGACATCAAATACACTATTTACTAAACTTAGCATATGATTAGTAGTGGGATCAAGAACGCGCACTTGACAGCTAGATTTATCTGAATATAAAATTTTTAATATTCACGTTGAGACTCAAAACTAGCACCTATCGCTTTAAACATTAATTGTATTATCCACTCAGTTACTGACAACAAATAGCCACTAACTTGTTAAACAGGTATGAAGGCCATATTAAACAACTCGCTCAAAATGTACACATGAAAAGGGAGACTGGTCAAATGAAATCCTGAATATCGAAATAAGTAAAATACAAACTCTTACTGATACTAATGCACTGTGTTCCAATAATATATGAACGTTAAAAAAATTTGAAGTGTTAAATAGACTAAGTCTAAATTATATAATACGTATGTAACTATCAACTGCATGTAGTCAAAGATTTATTAAATAACTAATCGATCACTCAAGTTGATTGTGAAGTTGTTACCAATTAGTGGAATTGAAAGGTTGTTGCATAATATCGCAAATTGATTGAAGCGTTAAACAAGTAACCTATTGTGTGTCAGCTTAGTGGTTCTAATTGTTGAACGCTCGCTACGAGAGCTCAAGGTATCTAACTGGTCTTAGTCCATGGGAGAGCAAAACAGGCAAATCAGTGTTTTCTGATTTTTAATGGTTTTGTCTAACGAAGACTACCCCGTGGTGAAAACAATGAAAATATGCTAAGTCATTAACTATAGAGTCTTGAACCATTCAATAAAGCATTGTAGACTTGATTGTTAAGATCTGTGTAGTGACTAAGCGTGATAACTGAAAATTTTATCCATTTGTAGTACAATTGTTGGGGATGTTAGATCCCTATAAATCACTTGGTAAACGTCTTATTCTTGTCATTTTATTTTGAAAATTTGAATTCGTCAATTTCGCATCAAAAAAACCCACTTCTACCTTTATATTGCATTTCCCACTTGTAAAGACCTTAAATATCACTGGTTCGTCTACTCTTTTAGTACGCTATTTTGTGGTTTACATTTTTATGCTGTATATGCATCCATGAGTTTTGTGCTTGTTCGTTCGTGCTTCAAATTGTTCTTGGAATATATATTGCTCCGGGATGAATCTGATCTTCTCTCTCTAGTTAGCAGAGCTTGAACGTAGTGAAATAGCTTAGCTTGTCTGGTTATTGTGTTGCTGTCTTCGCTCCGTTTCGCCGGTTCTAAGTGATATCATAACCTCTTCAAACGTAGCAACAATAAAACCTTATGCATACATATATACACTTTGTGCTGTCCTAAAAACAACAATGACGAGCTTGGACTTCTTAAAAAGCAAAACATAATTCAACGAATACCTTCAATCAATCCGCGATATTGTGTGACCATTTTCTAATCCCATTGGTGGATAACTGTCTTCACTGTTGAAGAATCCAAAAACAATAACGAAACAATTGTCCAGCACTTTCTAGTTTAAAATGATTACCCAGCCGGGATCAGTTCGTTATGTATACTTCAAAATTCAACAATCTCCACAGACCCTTTTACACCAGTAATTTAAAGAATAAACTAGAGAAATAGGTGAAAAGTACGGAAAAAATTAATGACATGAATTCATTAGTAAAGAATGTAGCTCTTCAACATTGGGCGTACGCTCTTTTATTCGAGTAAGGAAGAACATGACTGATTAGAACACTACTTTTTTCTTGAAAAGCCAAACAAATACAACCATATTTATTATCATTACTATTATAATTATAATTACTATTATTATTATTATTATTATTATTACTATTATTATTATTATTATTATTATTATTATAAATGTGATCGATAACGGAATATTTAAATGAAAAGGGGAAACAGTGCAACAATTAAAAATGGTGGGGAAGTAAACTATCTTTTACACACACACACACACATCAGTGATCACTATCATGTACTCAATGACAATGATTTTGATGATGATTGTGTGATTTTTTGTTCAATTAACGTCACAAAGTGTTGCTTTGGTGGTTGACTATATTTACCTAAAATTTGCTCCACCCATAATTGACGTTCACCCAGTGAATTAGACCATGTACCTTAAACAATATAGTATAACACATATAAAGGTATTTTGTATACATAAATGTAACAACAAAATAATACCAGTATACAACTAATCAAAGAATACACAAAACGTTAAACAAATTTATCATTCGCCTATTAAAGTTAAGGTTTAATGATAAAGATAGTCGTCAGTTAGTCAAGCATTTCAACCTCGTTACGCTTACTGAGGTTTAAATAGTTATGAAGTACATAAATCATTATTTTTCGGTGTATGGTTGAAAAATTTACGATTAACAACAAGCTAATATTACATTGATTGATTATTGATTTATAACCAATATGTTTGTCTAGACTAGTTTTTAGTGTTGCTTTTACGATACAGCCCAAGTTGAAACAAGATCATATGATCAAGTGACTAGACATTATGGTTGGAGGTAATCTGTAGACAACTAGTTCTAGCCTTCAATTCCATGCAAGTTGGTTCGAAGAATACCAGTGGGAGCAACACTACCTTCAAAGATTGCAGATATGCCTTTTTGATGAGTGTCGATAATAGGCTCGAAACTTGAGATAATTACCTAGGTAAAGATAAACGTAATTGGTTATGAATCATAATATAGGTTTGAGGGTTAGTAATACTATCAGTTGCCCAAAACGAACTTGGCGGAATAAGGTTCGGACCCAGAACTTATTGGTTGATAGTCGAACCCCTTGCTCATTGACTTATCGCGACAAAACTGACTAGGACTTCCTACCGACTAATTTCAAATAGCAAGTTAACAGGTGGTATTAATTATTACATTTTAATAAAGTTGACAACCCTGAGAAAAAGACTTGTAAACTGTATCTGTAGTATCACCAAGCAATAATGTTATAGACTAGTTATTTAAGGATATTATTAAACATAATAGACATCATTGACCAATGGTTTGAGTCGTATTGATAGATGATGTAAATTATCAAATGCTAACCGTCACCCAGTAAACCTAAACTTACTTTGCGAGTTATATTCTTTATTAAATTTTGATGACGGCTAAGAGTGGGGATTTAGGATACATAGCATTTTTTCCTACTCGGAACTTGTTAGCTGAATGTAGGAAAAAAACGTCGCAGTGTTGATACCCAGTGTCGAACTCGAACACAGAAACCTTTGTCTTAAACAGCAACGCGTCTAAAGCAAGTGATGAAATGGAAATATTATGGCAATTCACTCAGAATGTACACACACTAACAGAGATTGGTCAGTTGTAATCCTCGATGGGAAAGTACAAACCGTAAGTAACATATTCTCTATGTTTACCATCATTGATACTACTAAGATTTTAAATCATTTACACTATTCCCCTCGTTCATTTGATCTGTCTATGTGGCAACTTGAACCAGAACACACATCTCTTTGTCTCAGCTCCTATGTACACTGATTATGACCGATCGAATAGCTGAAATAATAATCAGACGGAAGAAAATAAGAGAAATGATTCAAAACCTTTTTTAAATTACCACTTGTTAATGTTACAAGGCAACACTTACTATATGAACTCAACCCTAAGTAGCTAGCAACTGAATGAACCAATAATCTTTGAAATGGATCCAAGCACAATAGATTTGGATGTGAATAATAATTCTTATTATTATTCGTACAGTTGTTAGTAATTGGAGGTGACATTGATTGTGACAACAATGATAATGATGGTGTCCAACGACCAACAATACTATTTGAATTAATTTGAGAGAAAAAATGCTGTCTCAACTCAACTTCAACTCGTTGCATTAAACAAATATCAGTCGGAGTAAGTGGACGTTTACAACGTTTTCGATTGTGTTTTAAATTGTTCATCGTCATCATGTTTGTAGGAATAGAGTCTGATACAAGGGATAGTACACGAGTAGGAATACGCCGTTCTATTTCTAAATCATACAAATTATCTTTGGTTACATTGTTATTATCTTCTGATTGAACAGATACACCTAGTTAAACATTTAAAAATAAATATAATCATATTAAGTTATCATATTACTGCAGATAGATGTCAAAAGAAAATATAAACTCTGAACAGAACATGATCAAACTGTCCATTGAAAATAAAGAAATGACCAGGATCATGACTAGAACAGCAATAACAAACTGAACGCTTGAAAACGTCAATTTTTTACAGTGATTAGATTGATTCACAAGCTTTAGCATAGCAAACATACAACTACTACACTTTTAATATAGTATGACAGACGGGGGAGTTGATAGGCGAACGAGGTTTGTAGTTGTTAAAATGAATAAACCCAATACCGATTGATAGATAAATGTAATGATACAATATAACCGAGCTGATTGCTGCACATGACACTAAATTATAGACTAGAACCTCTCGATTGACTTGAAATCAAATACAAGATACTATAGTGGCTTTGCTTCGTTAATCAAACACCTCGATAACCGTTATAACATAAATCTCAACGGTGTTTGAAATCAGAAGACAAACAGAAGCGGAAACTAGTTCATTAGCGGATACCACAGGTCATGCGAATTTGAAGCGGAGAGGCGAATATATATGTGCGAGCAAATACATAGGCAAATTTACAGTCAAATAGCATAAGGGCACAGCAAGGCAAAGGAAAGGCTAATAATAGGATTTGAGTACATATATACATGGGGAGAAGGATGAATCATCGAGTGATGCTTAAGCGATCAACATTTTAGCTAGTCTGTCATGTGATCTAGTGATCATAACACTGCAAATAAATAGACGGATTGTTACCGTTCCAATAATATTTTCTGTTAAGTAAGTTAATAAAAGGGCTTAGACAACCCACTAGCGTCATCTATTTGACTTGTGATTTCAAGATTAAAATATGGTCGAGAGACCCGAAAGGTTTTTAGTTTGGTCCTAACAGTGGGATCATGGATCGCACTCCTGAAGAGTTCATGATGTCAACAATAGGATTTAAAATATCATCCTCGTTAGTTATAACAACAGCAAAAAAAAGCACTCCAACTAAACGAAAATGCTTTCTTTTTCTCAATTGTGCGTATAAATAATAATATCATATATATTACGTATTGGTCTACAATTTTATTAAATACGAATACCGGGAACTATGAGGTGGCTTAGTGATTATTGTATTCAGCTATTCGCCTTTAAGTCCCAGGTTCAAGTCTCGCTTTATCTACTTTGATTTGGACAACCGGGTAGATAGTATCATTAACCTTCATACTTAGTGTGAAACGGTTAGTTTTTCTTTTTCATCAGTATCCTTGACTATAGATGGATCAAAACAAAGGCTTATATATATAAGAACAATGAATATTCTTTTTACGATAAATCCTCATCAGGTTCTACAGATATGATTCTAAATCAATGTTTTCCTACAGCTAACTGTTCTTCAAATTGTTCTGAGCGACCTACGTATTGACATTTTGCAGAGTGCGTCACTTCAGTGATTTTCTTGTTTACTATTTGGACTTTACAGAGTAGTACACAAAACTAAAAAAAGATTTGTGTATTTTCTTATTTTTGTTGGTAATTTATCTATTCTCTTCATCAATAGAAAATCCATAAAATGTATTCTACCTTCAGTTTCTTAATCGCATGTGAACTTAACGGTTGAGTAAACACTGAATTGTCTAAAAGTCCCCAATCGATCAGTATGTATCATCTTCGCTAAGGGATGATTACTACAGCCACATGTCACTTAATGTGGTGTTTTTTAGTTCTCTAAATATATTGAAAAAAACATACACATTAGTAGTTTGGAACTTTCCATTCATGTTTAAAAATGCAATTGACCAGTCTCTTTTGGCATATGTGCACCCTAAGAGCATTGTCTCGATATTGTCTCAGGTCACAAGCATTATAAGCAGAGATGAATGGTGGTGCCTATCACTGGAATCTAGGACGTGCGTTTCATCCCCTATGGAAACCTTCAGTTGAATCCACCTGCATCCCAAAGTTGATGTACACTACCGGAATCGAGATCCATTACCGTTCACTTCAAACGTCATTACGTTATTCACTTAACTACTGAATCCAGCTAGCCACTAGCTTGTGCAATGGGGTGAATTTTAATTTTAATTCATATATATTGATTGTTTGGATCGAGTCCCGGAGTGAACATCAACTCCAGGATGCAGGTACAGCCATCTGACAAGTCCCAAACAGGAAAAAAACGCACGTTCGGTATTACACGGCTAGCCACCATCCATCTCTGCATAAATATCGAAAAACATATGTGGGAAATTATACTTGTAAAATATCTTAGAGTATCAAATTGAATGATTAAAATGTACTTATAGCTTTAATTTGACCTTGGTTGTATCCATTGAAAACCTGGAAACACTGGACAGTCTTTTCATCCTAGTATGGGATTCCGCAGTAGTGTGCGTTTACAACATGGCCACCGAAGGCCGAACCTAGGACCTTTGGCCTCGTGAGAACACTTAAACTCTAGGTCACTCTGAGCCACGGTCCAGTGGTGTATAAGTCTAACTTCAATCAATCAGTAGAAACGCGCGATAACTTTCTATTATCTTTGGTTGTTTAGTTTTATACAACTGAATCTCAACTCAATGATCTAGAGATTAAGCGTTCGAGTGCGAGGATGAAAATCCTGGCCACGATCTCTGGTGGTGAGGCCATAAATGTACACTGACGAGGAGCCCAACATTAGGACGAAACATAGACCCAGTATTTCCAGGTTTTTAATGGTTAACTTAGATCGGTTCGTGATCTCAATAAGATTTTACTTTTGATATATTTTATACACTCGGTGACCAATTTATTGAGAAACTAGTTATTTAAAATAGGACGAAAGTTTTTGTTAAAAACACTGAAAAAAGTGTACGTAAAAGTACAGTGCCCGTAGCTCAATCAGCTAATGTGAGACATATAACGACCAGAAATTTACTTCAACTTCAATCGCCACACATGAGAGGATTTTCGTAGACAGCAAGTATGAGGTTTCAGGAGATTAGGAATAGCACTTTGTGAACTCGGTCGTTAGCACTTGTCGGATAGGGGAAAAAAGTGTAAGCCATAGAAGAGGGGTTAACAGTAGGGAAAGAAGTATGAATTAGTGAAGGAATTTGATAGTGAATAAAGTAGTCCAGAACGTTGTGAGAGGTGTGTGGATAGTTATAGCTATCCGGTCCTGAAACTGCGGAAAGATACTTCTCGAAGTACCTGGGCCATATCGACCTAGGTATTCCACTGCTAATGATTTACCGACCGACAGATCACAGTCTCGTTATATCATTTGTATACTTTATTGTGCCAACTAATCACATAGCATAAAACCAAAAAAATGATTTAAAAGTCTACCCTCTGAAAATAAAATCTGCAATTAGTGAAATAATCCTGCATGATACTGATGAATATTAATTTACACATCTGACACTAGTAAATAACAGGTTAGTGAAAGACTTCCATTACACATGAGGATTAACCGTTACAGCATTGGTGGTTACGGCACACGTATACGATAACTGTGAACAAAACAATCCCAACATAGAGGCTAAATTATTGAAAAAATACCTGTGTACATATGTTGGTCTTCCTTATCTGTAACGAGATTATTACTTCTATTAATTAAATTTTTTACAACTGTGACTTTCGTACAAAACGCATGAGCCGAACCATAACCTAAGTATCTCTCAGAATGTGTTGATTTCCTGAATACATTTACGAAGTAACATTTCTCGATTGTTCGGTTGAATGAAAACATAATAATAAGTTGGAAATAAATGTATTAATCTCGTTACAGATAAGGAAGACCAACAAATTGAATTGTCTAAACTTAAGGATGAAAGTTACCCCCGAGTTTTTAAAGGAGGTTATTAGAAATGAAAGAAAAACTAAACTAGAATGTATACCGAAAAATTGGAAGTCCACCGTGGTCATCCCATACAGTAGCCATATATAGGAAGAAATCGAGAGGATTCTAAACAAACATGATATAAGAATATATTTTCGGGTTTGTAGCACCATAAAATCAGCATTAGTGAACGTTAAGGATAGGTTCCTAAAGGAAGAACAACAGAATGTTGTTTATGAGATCAACTGTGCAGTGCAGCTTATGTGGGAGAAACTTTCAGACAATTGAATGTGAGGTTAAAGGAACACAAAAAATGTTTGAAAAATGTTCCCAAATCCTTGGTTGATTTAAAGAAACTTAGGAATAGGCCAGCGATAGCAATATGTGAGTTGAAAACAGGACACAAGATCAATTTTGAAGGGACCAAAATACTTCAGAAAGGTTTTAACATACATAAGGATTAACAACAGGAGCGCTGTATATGTGGGCGAACAAGAACAGTCTGAACAGAAATGATAGTATTCAACTAGCAACTACTTGACAAATATTCGTTAACAAATAACTGGACCCATTCTCTATCCAACCTGTTTGTTTCACATGCATCGTTATTCTGACTGAAATTAATGTAGGTTATTCTAGCAACATAATGATGTATTTGATGATTCTCATTTTAAATGCACATCAATGATTCAGAAATAATGTTTTTCAAACTTCAACTTGCACTTTTATTTTTATTCTTCCTTCATATAAAAACATATTAACACCTAATATCAACTATTAATAATTCAATCTTACATATATACACACAATCCATTCATTCATTTGTTTTCACGTTGTGAACTTTTCACATGATTTGCATTTAACTGACTCATATTATCCCATTTACTAAAGTCAACATCTAAATATGATTGCATTAGCACAGTATAGATTTGATTTAATTGTTAAACACTATATATTTCTTTGATGATTTTGATTATTAGCCTGAAGAACTTCAGACAAGTTTTCTGGACGAAACGTTGGAATTATTTAGATTTTAATCGCTGAGATTATTCCAAATATAATTATCACATATAATCACTTATTTATACTCGGCGCCTAATTTTTGTTAAACTATTACCTCTAATATTGACGAATATTCGTATATCAGAATGTGTTTTGTAGATATTATAGTAATTTTAATAGTTGAGATCATGAGTCAATTGAAGCTAGATCACCATGGAAAACCTGGAAGTACTGGACAGCCGTTTCGTCCTACTGTGGAACTCCTCAACAGTGCGCATCCACGATCCCATCCCCCCGGCGGGATTCAAACCCAGGACCTACCAGTCTCGCGCACGAGCACTTATCCATTAGACCACTGAGCCGGCATCCAGCGGTATTAATGTCTAACTTCAACTAATCCACGAAATTGAACGACAAATCCACCATTGTCATCAGTGAGTTACTATCTCATTCGTATAAATTATTTGCCGCTGAGAACGATTCTGAGCCATGTTACCCAAAGTCTCTAACCATTGGTTGCAACAATCACGCAAACTGCAACCTAGCAACATTGCTCAGTCCAACTGACAAAGATTTCATGTACCGCTAGCACACCTTGGTTTGGTTTCCCCTAGTTTTCTTTCAGTCCACTCCTACACCAACATTCCTGGTCGAGGTAGGCGGGGGGTTAGGCATACGTGGCACATGTCTTGACCCCCTTAGTTTATGAGCTCTCTGTATAAAACTATAAAGCCACACGTAAAATTATGACATTTCTGTGTACAAATTCATTAGCAGTTTATGTCACACGATAATAATGATCATAGCTTATCAAACAAAACTTTTACAGGTCTAAAACATTTTGAAAATGCATACTTCTTTGTAGATAAACACTCGGGTTATTTAGAAATTCATCTATAGTTTGATTTATCAAGTACAAATTTATGTACTCAGTTATGAGCTACACACCTGGTGCATGGAAATTTTGGTTGATGCTTAGGAAATTGAATCCAACTGAGTTAAATAAGTACTGTAATCTAATTTTATTTCCAAATCTATGTGACCGCTCTTTCAATGATGCAGTGAACTTAATAGGCTAGCAGCCTGGAGACAAGCCCTAATTTGTTCAATACCCTACACTGATAACTAAAGTTAGTATTCAGAGAAGCTGACGACTTCCCGATACATAGTGGTATTTTAAGCCGAGAATATGTACGATTTTGACTAAAGACATGTTTCCCGAGAGTAAATAAAATCTGCATCTCTCACCGGGTTCGCCTTCTTCTTTGAGTCTCAGTTTTTGCTGGTTCAGGTACCAGCCCTTCGCAGGTTACGCGATAGTGATACTATCTAGCTGATCAAACCGAAAAAGCTTGAGTGTGAGGGATTAAAAATCCGACCAAATGGTTGAACGCCAATTTCTCTAATCACTGTGACACTTAGCCACACTTGTAGACATCATTGGTGAACTATTCGCATAGGAAAAGCTGACATCAAGCATAAAATTGGCTAATATATAAAAAAACATCAACTAACTAAGTGATACCAAACACTACAATTGTCATGAAACCCAATTATCGAGAATTCAACTTGACCACAAAAACTTGGTTCTGATTCCACACAAAAAAATGAATAAAACATTAAACACAAGTGGAAACTACTTTTTCAAATCAACGCTGATGAACTAGACTTACACATATTAAGATTAGATTGTAGCAATGAATTTACATTATCGAATCGTTTCTTCCTCTCTTCACGTTTAGATCGTCTACATCGATGTTTCACATAATGTTTTGGATGAGATAAAGAAGATGGGGTATGGTGAATAGCAGAAGAATATGGTATATCATCTTTAATATCATAATCATCACTACCTGCCATCTCAACATCATCAATTTTGTTTTTTGCACGAAGTGTACCAAGAAGTTTCTCTTGTTCTTTTTCAGATAATTGAATAAATGCATCCCAAGCAGCCCGAATACTACGGGGAGGGATTTAAAAAAAAAACAATAAGGGATTGAATCGCTCGTAATTTTAACGCAAAATTCTATGTAACCATTTTAAAATAATAGAAAGGAACCATTTGATTGTTTGATGATTAAAATGTGTTGAGAAATGCTATATTTTAGTTGAGGAGATATCGTAGAGATTGGTTCCATTGGTAGGCTGTATTCATCACAAAACCCCTTTAACTAAACTACAGTAATAGTCAGCTCAATATTGGCTTTAAGATGTTACAAAATTTCTAATGAGAGGTTAGAAGTGGTGGAGTTTAGGCACGTCTAGAGTGAAACAATTTTTATCGATGGCACTAGATAATCGTTATGGAAAATCCCAAAAACTAACTGCAGAAGGGTGGAAGAATTAAGCTCCTTGAAATCAATGCACGTAGCTCAAAAAACAAAAATATCATAATAAGCTCCTTACGAATACCACCCATAAGTTTGCTATTGTAATTATCATCGGCTGAAGTATCAAATACACTTCCATCCGAAAAATTCAGGTTATAGAATAATTTTGAGAAGAGAGCAAGTTTGTATTGCTGGCTACTGTGTTATTGAATTGATGAGTAGAGTTACGTAGCGATAATACGGTGTATAAGAGAATGTTTTTATGAAATGCAACTAATACAGTTAGTGATTATAGTACTAATTGCCAAGTTTGGGTCAAGTGATGAACAGAAATACCAGTAAACAATTTATGACTATTACAACGTCATAAAAATGAGAATTTAAAGATGCTTTTGTTTAAAACTAAAGCCTTCCCACAATTTATAACATTCAGCTAACTGACCCATTAATGGAGGGAATATCTAAGGTCAAACCTGATCTACAGTTGAATATGACTTTTTATTTTGTAAAACATTAAACTGGTAATTCTCTATTTTATTTATTTATTTGAACACATAAATATTGGTAGAAAGGGACTCTAAATACATATGCGTCACAAAAGTTACTTGATTTGTGTGTGGGCTATGATACTGCTCGAGTGCCCAAACCGAAGCAGGAACTGGTAATTCATATTCCTCCAATTAATTTATGAACTCAGTTTAAAAATGGGAGAAACATAACAACTAAAGTGCATCCGCAATGATTTAACTTTTTAGTGAAAAGTAATTTCTAATATGTAAACTAAATTGTGAAGTAGACGAGAATTGATTAAAATTATTGATCCTAATAATGAATACTGTACTACCTATTTCCCAATTCAGTGCAAGACCATAATTCTTACATATTTGTACATGTGACTGATTTCACGTGAACAGAATAGTGAACAGGAATTATTCGAAATGTACAGTTTAATCATGTAAAATTGTTTAAAAATATAACTCAGTACAGTATTGGCTGAGGTTATTCGTAATGCTCAATAAGTGGGTTGTATCTAGCGCTTTTGACCAATTTTCTGTTCATTTAGTGAATGAGTGCTGGATATTAGGGAGAACTTTTCAAATCATAATTTCACCATATATGTTTTTTTATCCGAAAAGTTGGGTCGCACTACACTGATATGTTTATAATAGACAGTTACAGACGGATAACTTCAGATACATAAAATGAAATCCACAATAAAATCACTTCGATATGCACCAATAACTCACTTAACTCATGATCCACGTAGAAATTTTCAGTGACCGATATACAACAATCAATTTAATCAATTATATGAACCAAGCTGAAAATTACCCTCAGATATATTTATCATATGATCAGAATAATTATCATGACTAACCAGTTCAAAAGTATCATTTTATATATTTTGTTATGTATACCAATTTACAAGATATTGAACTGTTAGAGTTGATAAAACTCTACATATTAGTAGTGTTTTCAGTCCAATGAACTTTTCAATTATTATATACTACAAAACTTTCAAAGTATCCATAACGTGTCATCTGCAATAATGTTCGATTCGGAAATAAAATAACCTTCATTTAATTTTAAATGGGTCGGTTTATCCCGTTGTTCAGTCTCAGTTGCATATGTGCATCTGAAGAGGATTACCTCGATATAGCTAATTGTGACACAAGTTAATACGGAATAGATGGAGTGTGGCTAACAATGGAGCCCAGGACGTGCATTTCATCCCATATGGAACCCTTCAGCTGAATCCACCTGCATCCCAGAGTTGGTGTTCACTACTGGACTCCAATCAAGTACCGTCATCGCGTTATTCACTTAGTTAATGTATCCAGCTAGCCACTGGCTTGTGTAACGGACATGAAATGGATTGGCTTCTCCCGTTTTGAAAAGAAAACTAGTAATAATTTGAGTGTATCACCAACATAACTTAGTAATAATGATAGTTTGAGTTTAAAACCTACTTCTCATCTTCTAATAATTTAGTAAACGTTGAACAATAATTAAAACTTTCAGGCCAACAATCATCAATATTGTCTCCATCGGTTTCAGTAATCACAGCTAATGTATTTAAATAAACTTCTAAAGAAAAAAACAAACAACAAAATATATCGATTGATTAACAACACACATACAACTTAGTTTATTGTGTAATTTCAATGATCGACTTTTGTCAATTTAAACAATTTGTCTGATTTTTAAACGCTTTTTTTACCTAGAGATACTGATTTCAAATTCTTAAAAGTTCAAATAACTTGATGTACGTATGTAATGGCTAAAGCGTACGTAACCTGAGTCAGCCTGTCTTACAAACAACAACTCACTAGAAATTTGAACAGAATTACTATTATAAAAAATATATTTAATGAGTGTAGTGGACTTTTGTTAGATTTGCTTTCAAATAACTAAGTGACTTGAAGCGTCAGTATCCACTACAGATTGATATACTTTTTGAATACCTCACTAACCAGGTACATATTTGTGTAATATTTTTAGAGCCGTACTAAAAGTATGAAGGTTAGTGTGGTACTAGCCACCTTTCCAAAGTGGAATAGATGGAACGAGGTTCGAATATACGACCTAATGGCCGAAAGTTGAACGGCCTAATCACTGAGCCACTGAACATCAGGAGGAACTGAACAGCTGTTTCATTCTAATTTTGGACTCTTTAGAATTGTGAGAATACAAGCCTTGCCTTGACTAGATTTTCCAGAGTTTAGATAAAGAAAAGCTCGTAAAACTCAATTTTTAAAAGTTACGGAGCAAATGCGAAAACCAAACCACAGTTTACATATGTATATTATTATAATGAAATACCAGTTTAAAATGATTAAGTAATAAAAAACCGTTATATTTATTACAGTAGTATGAATCAGTGCCAAAAGATGGATTCACTTCCCATTCCTAAATGCCATACCCAACTTTTTAGAAAATATAGTCCAGGGTTAATAAATCTTTACCACTGAACCCAACTTGCTAGTTAAGTAATGACGAGTTCCTAACGAGAAATGACAATTCCAAGCTTGCATTCATTGTATGAAGGGGTACAACAAATGGGTTAATAGCTTCGATGGGACATTTTGGCTCTTTATACTATTATTAAACGTTGCAGAACTGCTTGCTTCATAACAACAATTAATAGTTAATTGAATAATCCTCTAGACCACTATGGGATAAATATTTAACACACTGAATACCGTATCGATCAAAAAATGTCTTCATACCATTTTCGTATCTTCTCATCGCCCTTGCTCCAAGTCTTATTTCACCAGGACTAGCTTTCACAGGTTTATTCCTGGTTAAGGATTTCTTTGGACGATAAGGAAGAACGTATGACAAATCAGAAAGACCACTCTCCGAAGTTGTATCAAAATCAGAGTAGTGTGGCAATGACTGACAGGCCAAAGCTGATCTGAATAAGGTAAAATGGAAAAATAATACACACAAACATAAACGTGAACACACAAGAGGTATTGGATAAAAAAAATTTTAATGTGTATCATGGACACCTGTAGTTTTTAGTGCAAGAATTATTAAATCCAAAAAAGCTTAAACTTCGAGTGACTACACTTGATTAACTGAACCCCATAATAAAAAGTCTGATTACTACTCGGCACTCGAGTGCCGAGTTGCAGATCTGAATATTCGATTATAGCTACTGAGTTGAAAGTCCTGAATATCTTGATATTTCGCAAATCACTGAATCACATTGCAAACAGATTCATAACATGCACGTGAACAAAACTGATCAATGTCAAAGTTGGGCAATGGATGAAATGCAGTTACTACTATTCTACGCACAGACTCTCTGTTTCGAAATTATTTTATATATCATTTTTCGCAAGTTTATTCTTCAAGAATTATCTCTGTCCAAGCATTTTATCATCACTGATACCACTACAATTTCTACTATTGATATTCATTTGAATAAATTGTGCAGTGTCTGTGTGTTATGGAAACTTCAGTATGTGCCAGACCCTACCTGTCTTATGACCGACATTCTTAACTGTTTAGTGGTGCTGTAATGTATACTGATCTAACTTTTCGTTTAAAACACCCGTTATCCTAGACAGATTGACTTTGACTAAATGGTCAAACAGAATCTCCCAGATCATAGTAAAACCAAGTCACGTTTGAAAATAATTACAAACTAAATAGTGGTGAGTAGAAACTCAAATTAAAGAATGTTACGAAAATGAGGTGATAATTTGCTCAGGATTTGAACTTATAAACACTAAATCTTATGATTAGCTTAGGTTTAACCAATATCTAATTGTTCATACAGAAAAACAGCAATAGACCTTTCGGTATAAACATGAAGGGAGTACACATAGAGATGATTACATTAGTTTTATAAGATAGGCGTTACTAATTAGCCGAGCACAAACATAGGATATTACATAGAAATGCATCCCTCAAGCTACGACACATTCCTTACCACCACATTCAGGAGGGAACTCAGGCCCCATTAATCAATTTACCATTTAACCTAGTACCCTAGTGCAAACTTGGCACCACTGACCGATTAGTTCCACTATAAGCAAATAACGTAGCAAGGGAATCTAAGAACAAGTCCCAGAAACCTACCCATGTTCCTAACCTTCCGGAATACATTTCACAACTGCAACTAAATACAGAAGGAACTAATGCCCAGTAAACTTACACGATCGAGATTTTCGCAATCATTTACCTGATTAAAGGATGACACTTTTATTATAAACGGAACGATAATGGGGAAGAATAATTCGCTCCATAGTTTAACCTTACCGACGCGAGCCAAACCAAAAGCAGCAACTTGCATTTGTAGTTAGGAAAACTTATTCTGAAGTTTATTTTATTGTCACTAAAAGATTTTTAGAAGACATTGCTCTTGGCTAGTGTCTTAATTAAGTAGTACTCCTTTTCAGGCCCTTGCTTAGTGAATAGCAGCTTATAAAACTAATCAGTGGATACTATTATCACTCCATTCGGTCATCGAACGTGCAGAGGGCTAAAAAGTTTACTTTTATAAGAGTGTAAAGTAATAATTATTAAACACTTCAAAACCACATAGCATCGAGTGCAAAAATAATCAATGGAGTAGAGGAAAATGATCTTACCAGCATTTATTCTCACTACCAAAACTTTTGTGCCGGACATTCTGTCAAGCTTTATAGTAATATACTGAGAAATCGAGTATCGAATATCGAATTCGCTTCAGATTTCAACAACTACGTCCCTACCTATGTACCAAAGGTTGTCAAAATAAGGTTTCGCAATCATCATTAATGAAATCAAAGTGAATTAAGAAATGAATGGAGGCAAATAACACTCGACTTAGCATCGAATCGATAAAATAATCTACTCACGTCAACATTTTCTTGATGCCTTCGATTTTTTGTGAGTTCTTGTTATCAATAAACGTTGTTTGGACTAGTGGAGAAAAAATACTACGGCCTGTAGAATCGATTATCACAAGAGACAACCGTAAAGAAAGAACACCCACAACGACCTACAAGTTGAAAATGGAAAGTTTCGCTTTCAATATCCAGTATTCAATGACTCATCATGAACTACTATAGGCAAATAGATTTCTTTGCTTTTTATCCTAGGAGTCAAGATATTGGTCCAATTTTTGTGTTATGGTTACTTGTCTGTACTAAGCCAGTACATACGATAGTTTCCAGATTAAAATATACTGAGAATAAATTAGTGTGTTCGTTCTATAGCAGTGATGTTGCTAATATTATCAGGTATCACACTGCACGATCTGCTGTATTAGTTAAAATTGTATAGCAAGGGAAAAAAGAAACAGGTCAGAGGCAGAAATCCAGATGAATAAACAGGTAAATAAATTTATTAATTGACTAAATCATCAAGGAAGAATAATTGGGCTAAACGCAGATAGTACTATATTAGGTGGTAAACGGATTTCCGAATAGTGAGAAGATTCAGATTCTGATTTGTGTAGTAAGGAAAGAAGGCCTACGGCCTATGTTATTCCTTTTTTAGTATACTTCTGTGAGTATCCAGACTTCTCTTGAAAGAGTCAATTGAAGGCGCGGACAACACTGCTTCGGGCAGCAGGTTCCAAGTATTGATGACTCGGTGTGAAAACCTGTATGCCACGGGTATTTTGTTCGTTCTTGGTTTTTCTACACACCTGCTATGTCCTCTGAGATGTCCCAATCTAGTGGAAAGAAAAAGAGAGAGCAGGTTAGGTTCAAAATCATTTCTCAGTATTCTATACATCAAAATTAGAATAGTTAATCATGGGAGGATGGAGGAATGTGGCGTAAGCGAACTAATTAGTACTCAGAAAGTGTGTATAGTTAGACAATGTGCAAGGAGGACTGTAAACCATCAGTACATCCGTGATCATCGGGCCACCTCTTAAAAATATAAATTCGGAGAGCTTTAGCTACACTGGCCAAGAAGATGCCCAAGAGACCCCCCGCGCAATGTTAAAAAAATAGACTTACTTTATTTTTCTCATAGCTGTTACTGGTGTCTAGGCTTTCCGTCTTCAGTGGACTTAAAACGTGGCCGAACACGGTTATATAGCGGCGATGATTGCAGAGGTTATAGTCTGTTTGTTGGTTCCCCGTAGCCTGAAACAGAGACTTTTTACACTTCATGGCGTTGGCTGTCAAGTGTTCATCTTGCTTCCACTCTTTCAGTAACACAGGGTTTTGTAGATCTTTTGTAAATCATATTCACATCTTATGACTCTGCATAGTTTAATGACGTGTTTACAAAAAAGATTTGATTATATGAGATTCTCTGGGAGCTTGATAAGATATATGAGAGGCAGGACGGTACTTAGAACGACTTTTCGTGATGCTTCAAACATTATTGCTCCAAAGATCGAAACTTTGATCTCTCAAACAATAAAGAAATGAAAGAGAACGTCCCCCACAACAATATAACCAAAACCGTAGCGACGAGGCAACTTACTAGGCCTCAGTTTCCATAAATTTTTTAACTCTATCCCATGTTTTATTTGGGTTGCGCCTCTTGCTGTTGTCGCCATTAAAACATCTGTTAAAATGTTTCTGATCACTGCCTGGTATAAGCGTTCCCAAAAATGCTCCTTGAAGACTTCGACGGCTTTGAAATTAACGAAAGTCAAGCCTTGAGGTTAAGTGATGATCAGAGTTCCATGGTTTGTGCTTTTTGTGACAATTTGACACAAGCAGTGAATTTGATTTCATTTTTCTAGTAAGGTTTGTTTGAACATATCTCCTACCCTTCCATACCCCTTTATTATGCTTTTTTTCTAATGTTACGTTCGAGTTAATGTCGATATCCCTTAGTGAGGTCCATCATTTATTCTAGGCACTCGTCCTTCCCTGAAGCAAAAGTCCTATTCCTCAATTTATCCGGAGTATTTCCTTGCCTAGATAATACAGAAACCTTTGAGCTGTTTTTCGAAACAACCTCGTGGGTAATGGTCTTTTCAACAATCCAATACTCGTCTATTGATAAATCTGGGAGTTCCTGGGGCCGTGAAAAGTATCGAAGGGCGATCTCTCATGGACAGAATCATGGATCAGGCGATATTATATAATTTATTTTTCATGGCTTTCCGTCCTTCTCCTATCTTGTGACATATGGATTATCTGTTGTATATTTGATTGTATATTTAGTGTATTTTGAGATAAAGTGGAGCCACATGAAGTCCTGTAGCTCGGCCGAACCGAAATTATTGAGATCCGTGACCCTGATGTAAGTACGCTTCCACTCACCACTTGGTTTTGTACTTCGTTACGTCTACAAAGTTTAATGCCGAACATCCTCACTTTAATGCCCATATTGTCGAGAGAGAACTAGTTTTCAACTTGGATAATGATCTTCAAACCCTACTTAAAACATTTAATTCGGACCGATTCTGTCATATCTATTGGTCACCTTAATGTAATGTAGGGAAACTTGGTTGTTTGGCGCTTCACATGGTAGTGAATAAAAACATAGGCGGGCACAACTAAGTGTATTTGAACACGAAACTACAGAATCTTTTAGAAAAATTTGAGGTCTATACAATAAATACTTCATTTGCAAAATGTCAATCAGTCATCTCGTACTTCATTGCTTCTTTGTTTCCACATCAATCATTCTCCGTTCTCGTTTTTTTCGTCTCGATCTTCCTATTCTTTTGCCACCATGCGTTTCACTTTCAATTGATGATAATATTTTACTTATATCTTTCGGTATCAGTAGCACACACTACAACAAAAGTATGTTTTTTGGCCACGTTTATCTGAGATGTATACGGAAGACCACTTTGTGCAGTGCAGTGGTTGGTACGAATAGGTGCTCAACTGACTGACAACTCATTAAGTATTTAAAATTATCACATGCAGTACGTAAAGTACTTGTTATATCCTAGTAAAGATTAGATTACGAGTAACTTCTTAGTAATGGGCTAATATTATATATATTCCTATTGTATAACTATTCAGTAACCAGATTATATATATCTATATTTATCTTATTATAAGCTTCATTTTGATCTGTAGATTTTTATTATACGGTTTACTGTTCATATGTTGTGTTCAGTTTATTGATCACTGTTTCCCGCGTTTACAGCCATCTTTTTGGCCTGATATTGTATAAATCTGATTTCCTATTTATGGTGTGATGTGGTCTGTCTGTCTGGTATACAAACGAAGTATGTTTGAAATAAATTATTCATATCTCAGAGGCTGAGATTGGTGTTCTGGACTCAACTGCACGGGCTAGGCGAACGAAGGACCAATAAGGACGCTAGGCTACTCATACCAGTCAAACGTCACTGGTTTGGCATAGTACTAAGATTAAATAAGTCGTATTTCGATTGGCGAATAAACTACGTGATGACTAGTCGGAATTAAAGTCACAACAGTATTTATATCAAGTTATTTTAAGTAAAATGATTTTCCAAAATTGTTTTTTTAAGAAAAGCTGTAGTGAGTCTGAGCATTCTATTAAACTTACTCCGGTACAGCCAGAAAGAAGTTATAACTTTAATAACTACCTCAGAAAAATTTACTTAATATGAACAAGATTTCTAGACCCCTTAATATGAAATTCAATGAATAACTGCTCAACTAGTTTGTTGAAATTCCTCTGTTATTAATACATTTATATTCACACACAATGTCTACCCAAATATTGCCAACTTTTTCATCAATGGTAAGGAGACAATCTATTCATTTACTATGAAGCGTGGAGTCGTGTCGCGATTGACTATGAACACCTCTACAAGAAGACTACGTGCCAGTTAACCAATAAGATCTCCGTAGGTCAATATCAGAAGGCAGATGATGGCTGTAGTCGAGATGTATTTGTTGGCGATCTCGTGGTATCGAAAGAATATCGAGATCGTGCCAAAGGAGTACAAGCGTGGTTACTAAGCGTAACCGAATTCGTACAAGTTCAAAGTCAACGATAGAGAGAGAGTAATGGCTGTCATTAGCACAGTTAAACAAACGAGCACAATAAAACAATCACTGGTACAATTGGTTATAATAATTATTGTTCTCATCGAATCAATCGCGTTCTGTTGACAAAAGTAGCTCACTACAACTATATGATTCTCTCTATCTACTTACTGCCTTTACAAATTAACTGAAACAACTGTTTTAACGTGTTCTGAGCAACCGATAAGCTCGAGAATATCGTGAAATGAGTTCACATCTCAGTCTTAATCTCCAGGGAAATACACAATCTCGAATCAGAAAATGACTAACGTTATTTCAACAAAAGTTTCTATGTATAAAACCTTTAATATCATGTCAAGGCAGCATTCTTCAACAAGAAGTGTATAATCTTCACAGTAAACAACTATCAAGCACTTTGTATGGTTTGACTGTAAGAGTAAAAGTAGCTTATTTATGAGTTGTCGACGTCTGAAAGCTGCAACAGTAATCCGAGCTATCTATCTACCAGTGCAACGGAAATCAATCTAGGAAAGCTAAGAATTGACTATTACATTAGCGAAAATTGTAGATACCCATTACATTTGAAATTGATTGCTTTTAAAATGTAGTTCATTTAATGCATGTTTTAATTAATTACTCAAATTATCAAATGATAAATTCAATTGGTATTGTTTGGCTTGTATCTTCCCATTGAGGTTTAAGACTACAATTGATCAGTCTGTTATAGGTATATGTGCATACTGTGCGTATGCCTCGATATTGCCTTAATTCACAAGCTTTTTGTAAGCAATGATATTCTATCATAATAAAATTCACTATTCCTCTTAAAAACTGTATATATGGTAACAGTTGTACGAGTTTGAAACTATTCAGTGCAACTCCACAAGAGAACAAAAAGTGAGCCTTTACAGTTATCATAATATTTATGAACCAGTGAAATCTTATTCTAAATTCA